CATGGGGCCTCTTTTCCTTTCTCCTATCCACAGTTATTAAATCTTAAACCACCAGTCGTTGGCCCAGCTACTGGCCACCGAAAAAAATAGAGTAGAAATGTTTCTAGTCGGATGAACTATGGTGTTCCTGCAGTGGCCCGTACGTTTCCTAAAATTGTGGCTTGTTAACGGGCAGGACTTTAGGAAGAACTGGTGAACCCATTGTGTGCCGCTGGCACTTATCCCAAATTTAGGCTCATGGGACCTCTTTTTCTTACTCCTATGATGTGTCCTATCCACAGTTATTAAATCTTAAACCACTAGTACTCTTCCCAGCAATCGGCCGCGGGAAAAAATAGAGTAGAAACGTTTGTAGCCGGATGAATTTGGGCGCGCCGCAGGAAAAAATAGAGTAGAAACGTTTCTAGTCGGATGAATTTGGGCGCTTTGTAGTGGCCCGTACGTTTCCTAAAATCGTGGCTTGTTAACGGGCACGACTTTAGGATGAACTGACTGGTGGTTTAAGTTACCAAATTTTAACAGTCTAACTGTATACCAAGCAGCAATTGCCTCTTGCAGTTATTTGATGCTTGTGGCAACGACTGTTGGGATATTCATGGGGCAGGGCTCCAATGGCATCTGAATGGCAGATTATCCTGAAGTTATGAATGACTTTTGACTCTTTTTTAGTACTGAGATTTCAGAACAGCCACCACTGTGCCTGTAACAAAGTGGGCGTTCCAAAGATGACTGGCCGAAATTTTGTTACGTGGCATACCGGTAAGTGCCGTGTATGATGTAGCCCAGTTGTGCTAGGCTCAGCAAAAAGGTCTCTAGAATAGGCATAATCTACCAGGAGATCATCTTATGTAGAAAGGGAATGGACCTTAGTTCAACAGTATGCCCAATGATCTGGGTTGAATCTGAAAATAGTGAGGAAGATAACCTGTTGCTGTCTTGTTGGGGGCATGAAGCCACAAAGCCCGGTAGGCTCCATACTGCCTCCGAAAGTGGTCTGTTCTGGGTAAACATTGATTGTACCCTCAGAAATGGGGTATTCAGAGATAATTACCTGCCTTAGTGACTGGCTACTGTCCCACTGTGCGTGGTGAAAATAGCGTTTCAAAGTGATCCTTGCCCAAGAATGCTGGTGATGGTGCGCCAACCTGCAAATGTTCCCTTTATGAGGCTTTATCAGCATACTACTCTAAGATCCTCATCGCCCCATGCATGCATCCCTGTGCAAGACCATGTTCTACGTAGAATTGGTGTTGGTTGAGAGAGTCGGAGGGTTGTGACGCCCAACCTCGTGCTCGGCGACTTCCTGATCAGAGTGAGAGTGGGCCTGGAAGTCCAAAAAGGGGGTGTGCCAAGGATTTTAGGAAAGTCGGGGTGGAGTCCCAGGTCGGAACTGAGATCTCCGGTGACAAGTTTCCGGGATGTGAATGCAAGAGGGTAGGCGTGGATCAGAGTCCTGTTTTACGCTTCGGAGAGTGGAGCTACTGCCTTTGTTGGTTCCGTTGTCTGGGTCGGACTCATATGTGGTGTACCGTCGGGACGTTATGGCTATCTCGCTGGCTGATCACCTGCCGACGTCTAACGTCGTGTAAGTAACGAGCCTCTTCGGCTGGGCTCACACGTACGTGCACAGGGTCTGTCCGTCGGCCAGGTGGGTAAAGATCGGCAGCTCACAACCTGCACACACTTGGCCTGTTGTTGTGAGACAGACATCTAATCATCTAGCATGCTCATCTAGGTTCATACTCAGACAGAAAAACACCAAACATCCATGCATCCAGCTTCGAACACACACACACCAAAAAAAGGAGTTGACAATCATTTGTGCATCAATTCTTCGGCCGCTGGCCAGGGATCATACAAAATTTGATCGTGGGTGACCAATCAATTAGATCGCCGATTCATGCAAAAAGAGGAGGGAAGCGGGGGAGACAGTCACACATCAATCCTCAAGGAGGAAACAAAGAAAAAGCCCGAGATGCCAATCTAAAAAGACAAGGGCGACTTGCACCAGATACCAAAATTGCTTAGAGGAATAGAAGAGCACCAGCATCACAACAGATCCCGTCTCTCCTTCTCTCTCTCTCTCTCTCTCTCTCTCTCTCTCTCTCTCTCTCTCTCTCTCTCTCTCTCACACACACACACCTGTCTCTTATACACATCTAGATGTGTATAAGAGACAGCTCTCTCTCTCTCTCTTCACAACACCCCGAGGCGGACAGTCCGTCGCCGCACCCTCCACACAGAGTTGTCACCTCGCTTAGCCTAAACATGCAAGCCAGGTTCGCCCGTGTGCCACAGTCCGTCACGACCGCACGTCAACCCCGCATGTGCAGCACCAGTCCATCGGATTGCCCAACTCTCCACTCACCTTCCGACTTCTGGTCGTTAGCCGATCCTCTCGACCGCGCTAACTCCGAAATTCATAGAGAGCGAGTTAATCGCGCTTGCAAAATTTATAGCATGCATGCTTGCGCGAGATACCCGGGATTGTGTCTGAGTGGGAAGGGAGGAGGAGGAAAGGAAGTGCCTATAACTGGATGGCCAGGCCGTGGCGTGGGGGACGAAGCCACATTCCACACATCGATCCAGTCATGCAATCGCTCAGGCCAATGGGACAGGGGGAGAAGTATGTGCACGCAGGGGCGCCACAAAAGATATCAAGAACGAGAGGATTACAGTTACAATCACACCCGCCAAAAGAAGAATAACAGTTGCACGTAAGATTAAGGCGCGAAAAAGTCAGAGCACAGATCCTGACGCGGCAAAGCGTGCGCAAGCAAGAAGCGCCGTGCAGCAAAATTGAGATGCACCCAAATTCCTAGCCTAAATTTAATTACAAAAAGAAATTCCGAAAGAAGAAAATTCCGATATCAGTTGAAAATGCAAGAAGATTTTCCCTCGCGGCGATTGTGCCAAAATTCCTATTTCCCCCAGCAGAACAAGAAAGAAGCTATGGCAACAGGTATCTTCCGCGCTCGCTAAGGCGCGATCAACTAACAACCGTCGTGGGACCATGCCAGCCTCAATTCCAGAAACAAGAAAAGCAAGGGCACGCATGCAATCCAACGGGCCATCCCGATTCAACCCCCGATGTAGCCTTTCACAGAAAGTCGCGCGGTTGCAGAAAACAGTTCGTCACAGGGTGGGCATAATCTATAGCTCGCTCTCACCCCTGACGGGCATTGCTAATTATCATTTCCAGACGCCGATCTCCACTATATGTGTCTTCATCACCGGTTCCACGGTGGCTGTGTCCCTCGACATCTCTCGGTTAGCTCTTAAACAAGTCCTCGCCAGGAAGTTTTTAGTGGTGGGTGGACTTTTGGGCCAGGTTGCAACACGTTGTTCAAACGTCTCCGGCCTGGTCCCACTCGGGCGCCCATAGATATGGTGTCAGAAGGTATATAGCATGGAGAAACAGCAGGCAAGGCAGCTGATCTTGTGCCATTGTGGCTGTGGGCAGTGGCCCTGGGGCAGGGCTCTTTGGTGCGAGTATATCAACAAGGTTCAGTGTCCTTCTGACATTCTCCCAGCCAAGGTATGCACTGTATGCAGTTCCTCCATAATCCGAGATTAGCTTCAGATATCTCTGTGTGGTTCGGCCCGTTAATGTTCAGTCAACTAGAGTTCGTAATTTCTGCATCTCCAATCAAGTTACCTTCTGTTACTATGTAGCCAAGATTCCAGTAATCATGATAACTGGTTGCCCCCCATGGCTTCACCCAGTTGTTCGTCGGCTATTACATAGACGAGACACAATTATTATCACAAGTGGGTGCTTGCCTTGGCCTCGCCCGCAGGAGAGAGGTGGGGTAGGGAAGGATAGAGGAGGGTGTAGAAGAGCAGAGGGGGATAACAGGGGTGGGGTAAGAGAGCAGCGAGCTTCGACTCTGACTCTGCCTCCCTCTCTCTCTCTCTCTCTCTCTCTCTCTCTCTCTCTCTCTCTCTCTCTCTCTCTCTCTCTCTCTCTCTCTCTCTCTCTCTCTCTCTCTC